ACCTGTAATCCCAATGCTTGGGAGACTGAAAACAGGAGGATCATTACAAGTCCGATCTGTGTAGTGAGACCCTGTAGACCCTGTACTAAATGTATTTAAAAAAAAAAAAAAAGCTGCTAGAGAGAAGAAACAGATCACCTACAGTGGAAAGCCCCTTAGAATCATGGCAGATTTCTCAACAGAAACCATCAAATCAGGAAGAGTTTGGAGTGAAGTCTTTCAGATCCTGAAAGAAAATAACTTCCAATCTGATTCCAGTCTGATAACCAGCAAAACTGCCTCTCAAGTTTAGTGGTGACATAAGACTCTTCCATGACAAAGAACAATTGAAATCCATGGCTACCAAACCAACCCTACAAAGAGTACTGACAGATATTGTAGAAAGAAACAGAAGTGATCACAGCTTCAAGAAGAACAGAAAGGAACCACCAAATAGGCCAAGTAATTAAAAAGAGGGAAAAAGTTAACCTATAACAGGAAATTAACATGACAAAGATAAGTCAATAAGTATCAGTTATAACGATCAGTATAAACCGCCTTAATTCACCATTCAAAAGAAACAGACTAACAGAGTGGATTAAGAAAGAAAATCCAACAATAGGCTGCATACAAGAAATACATTTAACTCAAAGGAAATTCACAGACTAAAAGTCAAAGGATGGAAAATAATCCTCCATGCTGCAGGAAATCAGAAAAAAGCAGGGGTAGCTATGCTGGTTGCTGACAATATCAACTTCAAACCAAAAATCATCCAAAGAGATAAAGAAGATCACTACATACTTGTTAAGGGAAAACTGCAAGAGGAAGAGATAATAATTGTAAATATATATGCACCCAGTGTGGGAGCACCCTTGTACCTAAGACAGATTTTTAAGAAACATGAAAAATCAAATGGGGACTTTAATATGCCACTGTCACAAAGAGATAGATCAACTAGGCAAAAAATCAGCAAAGAAATAACAGAACTAAACCAAATTTGTGAAGCAATTGACTTGGTAGACCTTTACAGAGTGTTCACCCAGCAACAACAGAATACACATTCTTCTCAGCTGCACACGGGACATTCTCCAAAATAGACCACATACTAGCACACAGAGCACCTTAAGTAAATGCAAAGCAACTGAGGTCATCCCATGCGTCCCATCTGATGACAGTGTAATAAAACTGGAAATTACTGACAAACTACAAAAACACCATAAACACATGGAAATTAAATAGCCTCCTAAACAGCCAGCGGGTCACAGATGAAATTAAAGAAGAAATTAAAAAATATCTACAACCAAAGGAAAGTGCAAATACAACTTAAAGAAACCTATGGGATGCAATGAAAGCTGTCTTAAGAAGAATATTATAACAGTAAATTCGCACATTAGGAAAATAGAACAAGCCCAGGTAAATAATCTTATGCTGCACCTCAAACTCCTAGAAAAAGAAGAGCAAGTCAAGACCAAAGCCCAAAGAAGGCAGCAAATTATAAAGATTAGAGAAGAAATTAGTGCATTGGAGATGAAGAAAACAATACAAAGAATAAATAAATCAAAGAATCAAGAAATGGCATCTCCTTTTTGAAAAGTTTCTCCACTTCAAAGCAAATCAGCAGAGTAAAAGAAAACCCACAAACTGGGAACAAATTATAGCCAACCATAATTATAGCTTCTGACAAAGGCCTTCTATCTAGAACATACAAAGAATTAAAAAAAAAAAATCAGACCCCCCCAGATTCAAAGACCCAATCCAAAAATGGGCATCTGAGATGAATATACAGTTCTCAGATGAAAAAATACAAATGGTAAGTAAATAGATGAAAAAAATGTTTTACATCTTTGGTCATTTGAAAAATACAAATTAAAACAACACTGAGATCCCATCTCACCCCAGAAAGAATGACTAACATCAAGAAATCAGCCAACAACAAATGCTGGAGAGGCTGTGGAGAAAAAGGAACCATTCTGCACTGTTGGTGGGAGTGCAGGCTGGTACAACCACTATGGAAATCAGTGTGGAGATTGCTTTCAAAGCTTGGATTGTAGAGCCCATTCAAGCCAGCTGTTCCCCTCCTGTGTAATTTTCCAGAAGAACTGAAAACCTCATACCACAGCCATATATGTGCACCTGTGTTTATAATAGTGCAATTTGTCATCGCTAAATCATATGACAACCCAGATACACATCAACTGAAGAATGGTTAAATAAGATGTGGTATTTTTACACAGCGGCATATCATTCAGCTATAAAACAGGATAAATTTGAGCCTTTTGTTGGTAAATGGATGCAACTAGAGAACATACTCAACTGAAATAAATCAGACCCACATGTGCAAACATGTTATTATCTCCTTAGTGTGAGAACTGGAAAGAGAAAAAATAAAATCTGAAGGGTAAAATAGATATTCACAAAAGGGAATGAACTTATTCAAAAGGAAAAGAGTTACTGAGTTGAGGAGGACAGGAGAGGGAGTGGGGGAAAGAGGTTTATGTGTGTAAGTGGGAAGGTTTGGACAACTGTACTGTGCATTTCTGCTGGCCTATGGAGAGGAACAGATATTGCTTTAATTTGTTTCATCTCCTTTTTTCAATTGTTTGTGTTTTTTGTCTTCTTAATTTCCTATACATTTCTTTTTCTTCTTTCAATTTTGCATACATATATCTGGTAATATGAATAACTGATTGGAAGAGCACACTATGCATTAGAACAAATACTGCGAAATTCATATTACTTTTAAGTAGTTAATGAAATTCTGCATCACTTGTAATTTTTTGTTTTAATTCTCATTTGTACTCTTTAAAAAATAAAAAAAATTAAAAAGAATAGGTTTTTACATTTTAAAATGATAGAAAATGCAAAAGAAGAATGGCATTGTGTATCATATAAAAATTATATAAAATTTGAATTTTAAGGCCCATAAATAAAAGGACACATGAAAATAGCCATGACTACTCATTTACTCTTGTTCTGCGATGACAGAGTCTGTGACAGCTTGTGTGTCCCTTATTCAAAGTATTTGAGACAGAAATATTTTGGGTTTCAGTTTTTTTTCCCTTCAGATTTTAAGTATTTGCTTACAAATAATGGGATATATTAAGAAGTCTGAGGCCTCGGGAAGAAATTTATGCTTTTTATATGCCACGTATGTTATGGCTTGTGTCTAGTTGTCCCGACAAAGCCTCACACAGTCATAGGGCGGCTTCCAGGGGCTGTGCTGGGATTATGGGTGTGAGGGCTGCACCCGCCCACCCGGGCAGGCGGGTGGACAGCCTGGATGCGGCATCAGGGAGGGAGGGAGGGAGGGAAGGAGGGAGGGAGCGAGCGGCTTGCTCCGGCCTCGCTGATGCAGCCGCTCCCACTGCTCCTCCCTTTTTGCTCTTGCTGCTTCACTGTTCTCTCCTACCATGACTGCCGCCCTGTGCGCTATACCACTCTCCCTTGGAGCCAACTGAGTATGAACTGAAACTCCCCCCCACCTTTCCTTCCATAACTTGGGGTGTTTCCAGCAATGACAGAAAAGTAACCGAGACATTATACGTATTGGAAGCTTTTTAACAATGGAAATATTATCTTATTATTTGTTCCGGTAATTGGTTTGCTTCATTTATGTGGTGATGAGGAGCGAGCCCAGCTGTCGTGGAGGCAAGGCAGGCCCTCCGTCACTGAACTGCATCCCCGAGTGTCACGGTCAGGTTATGCCGTATTTTTGGTGCGCTTGGCGACTGCAATCTATCACGTAAGGTCAGTCGTGGAATTTTGAAGTTAGGATGTCGTGTTGGCGCTCACAGTTTCAGATTTGGAGCACTACATGTCTTCAGCTGAGGGATGCTCAGTCTCTAGCTAAACCAGGCAGCTCGCCAAACCAGGAATATTCGTTGTCTGACCTTTGCGGGAAAGGTGGTGGAGCCCTGGGCCGGATGGAGGACGCACCCTTGTAGAGACAGGCGATACGGAAGATGATGGTAAACGGCAAGCAGTTGTGAGGTTGCCAGGCACTGTGCTAGGCAGTTCACATGCTCAGGTCCTTTAGTTCTTAAAACAATACGAATCAAGCAGGTATCTCATTATCCCTGGTGAATTGAGGCTTTGAACTTGCTCAGAATCACAGCGCCCAGAGGCAGTGGAGCCAGGATTTGAACTGAGGTCTGGCTGCCTTGTTACTTGCACACACAACCACGGGCTCTATTCTTGAGGCTGCTGGTGGGTCAAAGTAGGAGAGATTTAGGAACTCTGAAATGCAACAAGCCGTGATTAGGAGGACTGGAGGGCTGCAAGGCTGCCTGGTAGCATAGTGAATACTCAGGAAGGGTGATTAGATTTTGAATGTTTGTTGGCTCATTTAATGGGAAGAAGAGCAGACACGGGAAAAAAGAAATCCATGAAAACAAATCAAAACCGACGTCTATCACAGCGGATACCCCTGGGCTTAATCGGGCTCTGGCGGCCAGTACAGCGCAGCAGGAGGACCTTGCCGTTTCCTCCCCGGGGCCCAGCGCTTAGCCCAGCCTGCTCTCACCGAGCGGTCACTCTGCCCACAGCTGGCTTCAGGAAAGGGGACGAGAGGTAGTAGGGCTGGAGTGTTCTATCGCCTTTTTGTCTGTAAAATGAGAATGTCAAGGCACAATTGTTGCTTCATTCCTGTGAATGTGAGCCTTGTGTTTTCAAAGGTCAGTGCCAGTGAGCACATCATGGTTTAGAGTGGGTTCCTATGGTAATCAGGCCGTCATCACTGAGGGCACTTTGTGTCAGACAGCAGGGGACTGCATTTTCATGCTGCTGTGTAGCTCATGCTTGTTGCTGCAATTGTAACTATTTCGTTGTTGTTGTGGTTTTTTTTGTTTTCTTCTTTCTGCCCTACACATAGGTCTGGAGCCAGAGAACTCTTCAGCAGGTATGGCTTTGCTCTCATTCTTGCTGTGCCTGTTTTCTAGTGGGGACCCTTGAATTAGGGGGAGCCAGGACGTGTTCCCTGTGAGTGACAAGGTTTTATTTATTTATTTTTCCTAATCTCTTAGATGGGTGGAGGCCTTCTTCCAGTGCTGATGCCAGTGGGAACGCCCAGCCCTCTTCGCTTGCCGCCAAAGGCTACAGAAGTGTGCACCCCAGCCTTCCAGCCGACAAGCCCCAGGTAGGCTGTGCCCGCTGGCAGGGTGGGCGTCCATTTGCGGTACTTGCCTACTCATTTTTTTGAACCTAGACATGACTTCCTGCTTGCTCAGATGGTCAAGGAGATAGCTTTTAATGGACTGCAGAAAATCTCTGTAAGGATGCGGCACGAGGTGATGCTGGTTTCTGCCAGGGTTTTGGAACTAGGTCTGATATGCATGTGGAAATGTTCTGAAAGAGAAAATGCATTTAGATTGAATAAGTAGGAAAATGTCCGAGATTATTTTTATGAAACACTTCAGAATGTAATAGTCAAGAGAAGAGTGCTTCTCGTGTTTACTTCATTAATTTTCTAGATTTAGCTCTAAGAGTTCAAGCAGCTGTATCCTCACAGCTTATCATGTAGCTGTGGCCAGACCCTCAATCCAAGAACCCAGCCCTACAGATAGAAGTTGATGTGGAGCACCTTATTTATACATCCCCCAGTTCTACCCTACAACAGAAAATACCCCAAAGGTGTACAACTTGGCGTGGTGAAGATTTCCCTTAGGCTTTTCTCCTAGCTAGTTTTCCCTTCCTTCCCTCTTGGTACACTGCCACTTTGATGAAAAGGATGGACAGGGTTACAGTTCAGGTGATCTGTGCAGAATATTTTTATATGGAGCAGTCACTTCCATGGAAAGTGGCTTCTTTTATAGAAAGTGGTGCTACAGTAAGTCTCTGAATTCTGTTCTGGGAGAACGTGCGTATGTCAGATTTGTTCATAATAATGTATAAGACAAAGGGAGTCTTAGACAGTACACCTATGAAAGTTCACGCCCTGAACATTTGTAAGTCAGGGATCTACTGTACTCATCCTTGCAGGAATGTATTCTTGTTATGGTCCTCTTTCTTGCTCTTCCCTCTGAAGGTGTCCCTAGAGCTCACTAGCAACCTGGAATTACCACAGATCTTGCCCAGTTTCCACCCCTCTTCTCTAGCGATTCTTTGGCTTCTGTCTATTAGGATGTAACATTGCCATGGTCCCTGCAGTGAAGCCAAGCCAGAGGTGACATCTTCCTTCTTTCCCACCGACCTCTGTCTTCTCAAGCTGGTTGGGGCTGGTCCGCCTTGCGCGCTACGCAGCACCACTAGGTCTTCCCAGCCCTGCCGCGACTTCTCTCTCAGCGTGCAGCCTTTGCATCCAGAGCCCCTGCTAGAAGCAGGGGCTGTGAGTGCACCTACCTCCTGCTCTGCTTGCTAGGCTCGGGCACTTGGGAGGTTACTTGTCTGATAAATGGCTTGCCTGGCTTTCCCCATTTCTGAAACCTTTTGAACAGCCCAATGTGCTTCCTGTGGCAACTTTGCTTCCTTCTTGGCCATCTCAGGAGTGCACACGGTTGACGCTGTCCCGATAAGGAAGCGGTGCTGATGAATTCAGAGGAACGTTGTCTTCCGTCATCGTTGACTTAGCTCATAGGCTAACTCGGTCATTCTTTTTGGCTTTGTAAATACAGTGGTCCCTTGGTTTAGGGATTTAATTTGTTATATGATTGGGAAAGACAGCTATGTTTCATTTGTGTGGGCAAGATGGCTGTGGTCATATTTGTCACCAACTGCAGAGTTTGCAAACAAAAACAAAATCTTGCCCAGTGCTTCTGTTTGGGAACCAAGTTGTTTGCAAGCAGACACGTTCCTGAACCAAGGTAACACTGCTCCTCTTTTTCATGAGGAGTAAGGAGACATTCCTTCTGGATACATTTATTTACAGTAGCTGGGTTGCATCCTCCGTTGTGCTCAGAGCACCCAGAGCACCGTGTTAACAAATGTTGCCCTCAAGGAAATGATTTTATTTGTTTTAGTGGTACTGGGGATCGCACTGAGATACAGCCCCAGCCACCACCCCAGCTTTTAAAAATATTTTAGTTTCAGATAGTCTCCCTACGTTACCGAGTTGTTGAGGCTGGGCTCAAGCTTGTAATCCTTTTGTCTCAGCCTCCCAGAGTGCTGGGGTTACAAGTGTGAGCCACCGCTCATAGCTTCTTAATAAGGCTAAATATCCTACATCAGGTATTTTCTTCTCTGCCACTCAATTTTTTATTTTATTTTATTTTATTTATTTATT